CTGCAGTAATACTGCATGTGGGGACTAACTAGTCCCAAGTCAGTCCACACAGTGTTTATGTCCTTTAACACCTGCGCATGTAGACACCGGCCTATTCCTGCTTATTGCACAGTAATTTATTGCACAGTAAATTTAAGCCGGAGGAAATGCATATGTAGACACGCCCAGTGTGAGCAAAGATATCACACCTGTTCATTAGCATACAACAAGACTGCCTGAACCTCAAACTGCTGGGAAAGAACAATAACTCAGAGTTCTTGTGTACCTTTCATTTCTTTCAAATCAGATTATTTTGCCAGCTTCAAGCATTTGAAAACCATGCTGTGTCATAAAAATAAGGCAATTTAAAAAAAAATGTTGGGTTCTTTTTATTTATCTTCCAGGTTTTGCACCTTTAACAATGCACTTGCTCTATATTTTCAAGCTTTTCTCTGTAGCATTTAAGGCTTTACTGAACTTAACGTAAAAAAGAAAGAAAGAAAACTGAGAGTCTTCTGTAATCTCTGGATTCTAGCACCTGGAGCTTTAAGAAAACACTAAGTATCACAAGACTTGTGATAAAATCATGTTGGCTGGCAAGGTTGAGGTCTATGGAAGCTTTAGGAAATGCACAGCATTAAAGGCTGATCTTGCTCACATTTAAGTACCCAATTCAGAAAGATGCTTTAGCACAGGTCTAATTTTAAATAACACTGATTTCAGTAGGGCTGCTTGCACATTTGGTCAGGTGCATGCTTAAGCAGTTTGCTCAATTGGAGTTGGTGTTAATAGCAATCCTCCTACTGGCTCTTTTGGCAACCCATTCATGGCCAAAAGTGCATATGAAATGTTAGGCAGGGCGTTCCTTATTTAATATGTGTTGAAATATGTTTGTGCATAGTTTAATTGTCTATATCTACTCCTTTTTTAAGGCAGCAACCTACCTGTTGATTTTCTTGGGAACTGACATCATGTCAAGTGGCTGGAGTTGTATTGCTTCTCATACTGTTTTAATGCAAGAAAGCAACATGTATAGAGCTGGTCTTGATGCAGCATTTCCGCTCCTGAATGTAGTGAGAAAATACAGTGAGAAGAGCAGGCCTTGTAATGTTTTAGTCCTATATGTGACATGCAAGGCTGAGTTCCCAGCATCTGTGAACTCAAGTGTATAGTCTCAAGGTGAATTGCTAAGTGCCTGGGGAACAGAGAGAGGAAATGGGGAAATGTCTAGAGACAGAGGTGACACAATCCTGACACAACACAGACCTAATACCCTAACCTGCCGCAGGTCAAGCAGGGGCCCTGCCTCTATGCAAAGTTGCCAATAGATGTTCTGCTTCAATTTAAAAGGAAGTTTGTAGTCTGCAGAGCTGCAGAAGTAAGCCTGGCAATGTTATTTCTGAGCTGTCAAAATCCAGACGCTGAACAAACTGAGTACCCATGGCCACGTTTGGCTCTTCTTGATTGAAGTGATGTGGGGCCAGCCTTCTGCTAGTCTGGGGATGCTTGAGGCTGGCCAGCTTGAGAAGGTTTGGAAAGAGCAGGCAAGAAACAGAAGTCTTAAACAAAGTGAAAACCGAGCCTGAGGAGGAGGAGGAGGAGGAAAGGGAACAAGGGGGACTTTTCTTGCCAGGGACCGGATGGAGAATGAAAGGATGGGAAAGGAAGCGCAGAGAAGGAAGAGAGGAAGGAGGAGAAGAGAGAGAACTGGTGCCAGAGAGAAGGAAGGGGGAGGTGTCTTGGAGAAGGCACCACATCCCCCCCTTTTCCCTCCCAGCTGAGGGTGTGGCTTGTGGTGTCTGAGCTGTAGCTGGGGCGAGGCCGTGGAGAGGAATGGGGGTATGAGGCTTGAAGCTTGCCTTATCTGCTGCCTCCAGCCCCAGGCACAGAATGGGGGGGGCAAGAAGAGCCGGGGGGACACCCCCCACACTCCCTCCTGCTCCTCTTTCCCTCCCCTCTGTCACCCCGTCAAGGATTAACCCGGGGGGAAGAGGGAGGGCGGCGCCTTGCAGTAAGATGCCCGCTTCGCCTCGGGAGTGGCAGCCCTGCCCCGCCAGCTGCGGGGCCGGTGGGGGGTGGGCGTCCGGCAACATCTGTACAACTTGAACTAGGGGGAGGGACAACTTTGCCAGCGCGTGAGCGCGGCCGCGGGCTGCCCCTGCGCTCCCTCCTGGGCTTAGCTCCCTTTGTGCCTGCCCGGGGCTGGGCGCCTTTGCAAGCGCGGGGGTGGCATGTGCTTCAGACCCTCCGGCCCATCACCGCCACCACTTCTTTCCCCTCTCCGCCCCCTCTCTTTCTCTTTCTTTCCCCTTTCTTTTCTTTTCTTGGTTTTTTTTTGTGTTGAACCAAATCAGAAATGTCAGGCAGGGCGAGTGAGTCAGAAGGGATCAGATTACAAGATCCCTGCAACTGATGCCGGATTTGCGCGCACACGCACGCACACACACTAGGGAGATCTTCCCCTTTGGAAGAGGAAGGCAGGAATAAAGCGGCACCCAACACCCCCCCACCCCTCTCGGCCCCCTCCATACACCCCCCCCCCCCCCCCCTCCCACA